GACCATCAAACATTAAATGTTGTTGAACAGCACACACAACCAGCATTACAACCCATGCCCAGAAACAACAGCCGATCAAGACAGAGTGTGTCCGTGAGCATGTGTCCGTGAGCACCTGTGTGTACACCTGTGTGTCAGCGCGCTGGTGTTCCTAAAGTTTCTCCATGTAATTGTCTAGTAGTGTGTGTGGGGAGCCACAGCCCCGCCCACCCAGGACATGAAGTCGACACGGAGGAGACCCGGGCCCCAGATATCCAGAGGCCCCCCTATGATGGATTTTTTTCAAACTTTCCAGGCATATTGTAGGACTGACAATGTCATAAAATTTTTGAGATAGATCACCCCATGATTGAGGCAGTGCTGCTTAGGCCTGTCACAATAATTACGTTATCAATTTAACGTATGATATATGGACATAACCTCAATAATTTTTTCTGACCAAACATTTTAGCAAGTCATGCTGCCTCTGCCCTCCTGTCTGCTGCCTGTGCTGCATGTGCCATGTGAAAAGCTGCATGCCTGTAGCTGCATGCCTGTAGCTGCATGCTATTATTTTATCATTATATCAGTGGTATATCATGATTTTAAAATGACATTAATTATTTTTGGGATAATATGTCATACAACAGAAGTGGTTATCGTGACAGGCCTAGCACCGCTTCACTTCACACATGAGCAGATCCATTTCCTTTGCAGAGAGAAGTTGTTTTCTACCACCTTGCAAATCCACCATGGTAAGAACAATCCACCAAGGTGCAAGGTGCACCTGGCATTTAAAGAGAATGTAAGATGAGAACCAAGAGTTAAAAATACTTTGATTTGTAAGTACTGTTCTTGTTGATTGTAGCTAATCCCATGTACTGTATCCCTTCTTTAAATAAGAACATTAATTTTTTAACAACCAAATAATTTTTTTTGTTTTGTGCAAAAGGAATATGTCACTGCAGTTATGATAATTGCACGATTACAATTTGCACCTGTCCTGCATATTGCGTGATCTCCACGTATTGAAAAATAAAATGATTTTGTACCAATATGCAACATGATTTGTCTCATATTTTTGGACTGTGGACCGGGGGAGGTGGGGCTGGCCCTCCCTAAAAGGAATACCATGGTACACCATATATTTTGCAATGCACTCAAAACTCTTTTTACGAATAGGATCTGAATGTGAGATGTGCAAATGAGATAATGTTGCTTTCGTTTCTACATGTCAGTGAGTTATCTTTTAAGGTGAAGATTATATCTCTAGTAAATTGCGTCTTATTGGCAAAATAATCAGGGAAAAGAAAGTTTCATGGGAGAATGTTATCAGGGCATAGTCCATGTCCACAGATGTCTAGGAGGAGAGACCAACATATCAGAAACAGCGCCATGATCAGGGTGACTTTGAGAAGTTACACGTTGGCAGTGATGTTGGCTGAGCTGTTGGGTACATGATTACATTGTAGCTCAGTGGGAAACAGTTGGCAACATCCCTGTGTGACATCAGAATGGTCAGAATGACCTTGGCCTTTTCCCCCCATAGAGGATGACCAACAGTGCCTGTAGGAACCATGCTGGTTGAGAGATGGTCTGATCCTGGAACAGGATCCACATCATTGATGAGCAAGCCGATGAGTGGCAAGGACATTGGCTTGTGCAGCTGCCTGTGGGGGGGGGGGGATGCCGAAATCAAAGGCCACCATAAAGTAACAGGCAGGAATCAATGAGGGGAAGATAGGGAGATATGACCAGGAGCATTATGGAGGCAAGTCAGATGACTTTTTGTCTTGTTCTGGTTAGTGCATATTTATAATAACCTTGACAATCACAAGACAAAAAAGGTTTTGGGGCAGTGGTCAGGACTTGTTTTGCAAGAGTTTTGAAATCCATTCATAGCTGCATGGTGGCAATCCATAAAAAACACTCAAGTGGTTGATGTTCGTCTGCGATGTGTGACATTACTTGGTGTTCATTACGTTGAATGTTTGCTCACACATGCATGTAGATCCCAATAACACAATAACCTATTGTGCTGCTTGGCGACTGCAGGGAAACTTTACCTCACTCAGTGAGGCATAGAACTCATTCAGTGTTACAGAAATAAACTTTCAGCATTATGTCACATTGCAGATCAATCAGTTACAGTTGTGATTCTTCCTTTGCTGTCTCATAATCAAAAGTAAAAGGATATTATATCAGCATCAAGGCCTCTCAATTCAATCAAAACAAACACATTGACAAAATAAATTCCATGTGAAACTGTGAGAGGTTTGTGGTACCGTTGTCTCTGAGTGTGTGACACATTGACTGCCCCAAGTGTGTCTGTTTCGTAAATACGATGATCTTTGCTCTGAATCCTTTATGTTTGAATGTAATTCCAGAACATTTGAATGTAATTCACAAGCACTACAACAGTCTTAATTTGGGGGCAGCATGTGGCTGTAATTTAAAGGTTGCTAGTTCAAACCCAGCCTCAGCACATCTGCAGGTCTGGCTGTCCTTCACAGACAACTTACTCTACAAAAAAGAGCAAGTTGAGGGAGGTGTAAAGACAATTTCCCCATGGGGATCAATAAAGTATCTATTATTAAAGACATACTTGAGGCCCAAAACATTCTTGCACTGTGATTCCTGTTATATTATGCAATGAAGAAATATTACACATTTTATTACCCACGATCATCTTCTTTCACTTTGTTGTGTATTTAGTTCAACAATCCAACAACTCATCTACAAAGAATCGGTGTCAATTTTACGAACAGCTTCCTCATCAAGCAAATACCAACCAATGTCTTTGGTCGCCCCTAAATTTCAGGTCTTCTCCAATTGTGTGTGGTCTCTTACCACAGGCAATGCAACATGACAGCAAAAAAGACCCCTGAGAGCCCGCTCTGAAACCATCACTCGCTGTGAGAAAATGTTCTCTTGTTCCACCAGCAGTGCTGGTTCCCTGTTGTGAAAGTCAATATGTTTCTCGGCATGAGCTGGATGTTTTTGATCCAAGTGTGTTTTCAATGTAGACGGTTAAACACATTAGTTTGGCAGAAATTCCTGAAAAAGATAACATTTGGGGTAATGAAAAACACATTTTTTCGTTTTTTGCCAGCACAAATTACAACTCTCTATATGAAACTTTCCAGATTCAGATTCTGCTTTAGAAAACAGCTCATTTGACGCAGCATCTCAGGCTTTGTTTCTGACACTCAGCTTCTTTTACTTTGCTTACTTTCTACAACAAAGACTGTAAAACTAAAAGCGGCTGCTGTCCACATTTGCACTGTCAATCCACCATATTTGTACCGCCTTGTTGTCTTTTGCACCAAGTATTTAATTTAGTTTAACTTTTGTTAAACTAGTGTTAGTGGATGTTTACAATTCCGGCAGGAATGTAAATTACATACAACAGGCCTGATTCACACCCTCTCTGTACTGTGGCCCACGTTTGGCAATTACACTCCATGAACTTCATTTCATCACACCCTTTGTAGGAGCTTTTAAGTGTTAATTGATTCAAGGCAGTCAAGTGCAGTAAAATATACGCAGAACAGTCTGTATGTTTTCATGCACACTAAGAAAATTTAATCATTGTGTTACTCTGACTAAAACCCAAATTTGAAAGTGCATGTAAAACAAATGAAATCCCACTAAACTGATTTTCTCGTAGTGGGACTAAGACACCCAGATAATGCGATTGGAGATCAATTTACGTTCCATCAGACTCAAACTGGCCTAGGCATTCTGCGCATGCTCCACAGTCACCCCTCAAAGGATATGACTGTCACAGGGAAAAAAAACCTAGCAAGTTTTGCAATTTTAATTAGTTATTTTCAAGAATATCTAGTACATGTTTAAAAATCAGTTTGTTTACTTCTGCTGCTTTTGCATGAGCGCTGCGTGCGTTCTCCGAGACAATCATAATCATTTTCATCCTTAATATTTAAATAACTCCTAGGGGTTCGTGAGAAATTTGTTGGACTTATTTGTTTCATAAATACCCAGATATTTATTGTAACAAAATCACATTGCAATATTTATATATAATTTCCAAAACCGTGCTATCATAGTATATTACACAAAATACTTTATTTCATGTTATGCTATCCAGAATTTGTTGTATCTGTTTTTCTGACCAGTTCGCAATTAAAGTTTGTGTCACTTCATTTGCACACGCATCCATTATTACTTTTTACATTTATTTTTTACGACTGTGACGTAATAGGTCAACCGGAAAAAGCCCAGTATTAGCAAGCTGAAAGGAGCCATACTGCCACGTATCGTAGCGGAGTCGGACATACTTTGCTTAATAATTCGATTCCCTTCTCAGGCTGGGACAAGGGCAGCAGTCCGATTAAACAGCGTAGACGGGCTATAACCGTAGCTCGACTGAGCTGTGCATATGCAAACCTAGTAACTAATTCTGTCATACGTTTCTAGACAGTGATGGTGCACCACCTAGTGGTAGATGCTTGGTACAGTTTAGGTTTCAGTAATACTGCAAAAACGTGGGTTAACCAAGGCTGCAAATTTAAATTATGATTATTTTAATTCTTTTTAATGAAATTGATAACAGTCCTTTATTTTACAATTATCAGACACTTTTTATTACTCAGTTACCATAGTTTGCACCAATGAACAGCACCATCGATTGTAGGTATATTTAATCTAGAATGCAACAGATGATATCGCCATTAACATTGTTTTTATTTGCAGTACCGTTGCTCATTATTTTAAAACAAATGTACTTTACGATATAACTATTGTCAGCTTAATTGAATAGAACATGGAATATAATATTTATTATTATGTTGCATATGTTGCAAGTAAAATCTTATTTACTGTTGTTTCAATTTGCTCGTTTGTTTATGCTTTAAGCCATGAATCCAGGTGATTAAGAGTATACTGCACATTACCATTTTAACATTTTAAATCTGCTGCTGCTTACTGTTAAATTTATTGGCAGCAAATCCTTGCACAAACTCCGCCTATTTCCTTGGCTGGAAAGATAGCTAGATTTTCACTTTTAAAACCATAGACAGAGTCCTTCAGGGTGCTTGCATATCAAGAGTAAGTATCTAACGTTACTTTTTTTTTCTTACAGAATTTTCACAGAAACTTGTTCATTTTTAGGTGAGCAATCACTGCAGTTGTAACAACAACAATTTAATAATTGTAAAGGAAATTAAGTATTGTGTTCACTGTATGTAATATGTATATGTCTATGGAAGTGTTTATAAAAGGGACATAGACGGTAATTGTATTTATAGTCAATGCGATCATCTAGTCTGTATCATAAAGTCGCGCTTGTTCTCAAAGACAGCTAGAGGGAGTAATGATTGTGTGACTAGTATTATAATTAGAACTTTGCCAGCTCCGATCTGCTTTTCGTCTTGGTTTGGAATGCTCAGACCTGTTTGGTATGGTGTTCTGTTTTTTTGTCTTTAAACATGCCTCGGTGTGTGTGTGTCTGTGTGTCTGTGTGCATGCACAGTTTGCTTGTCTGTCTCTGTTAGAAAGTTTTTACTGCTTACTAATTGGCAAGGCTGTGCATAAATGCTCTGAAAGTTGCCTAAACTGGACAGTTAAGTCACAGATCTTTGAAGCAAAGAAGTGTGATTTTTGTTTGACAGATACCAATTAAAATATCTTTAAGAATCTAGTACACTTCAATCAGTTGATGGTTCTGAGGCTTTCGAACCCCAGGGAATGGGATTGTTACATGCTGTTACCTGACTCAATCTCAAACTGTAAAGCAGGAACAGTGATGTAAACAAAAAAACAATGTTTTGGAAAAAATCAAATTTAATCACTCAAAATGAAATACCCAGTGCAATTGTGCTTAAATATTCACAACTACAGTTGGCACAAAAAAATGTGTCACCCATTCGAGATAGGGAGAAAAGACCCATAAATGTTGGTTGAAAATCTGTGAAATCGTGGGTTAAACACCAATAATCAGGGGAATAATCGGAAAAGTCTAAGTCTCAATTTTGGGTCAGTAGGTCAATGTGTTTTGATGTTATCACCTTGCCTGTAAACAGGAGGTTGCTGGTTTAAATCCCGTGGCTGGCAGAATGGTTTCACTATCAGCCTGTGTTGCTCCTAGAACTGATTGACAGTTTTCACAATTTTATGTTTCTTTGGATAAAAGGGCTAGCTGGAAATGCAAACCCACATTTTGTAATGTATTACTCATTACTAGTCACAGCTAAAACAACAACACCAAACAAAAGCTGACAGAAATGATCCATTGAAGGTTTCTGGCAATAGCCTTCACTCCCCAACTTGGCACAGAACTGTGTTTTATGGCTTGTTTTGAAGCTTCCCGACACTATATCAGGTAGTGAAAAGCACTGTCTACCTTTAGGGGCAAAAGGGGGCTTCCTGCAGATACTTCCAACAGTGAGAGTCTGTCGGTGCACAGCCACCTCAGGATATCTGGATTGGCCTCAGCATAATTCCCCTACATTGTTCTCCATTTTCTGTTTTTTTTTGTTTGTTTGTTTTTTTTCCCCTCTCAACATTCCTCTGGTTTGATTTCACAGCAGCTAGCTATCTAGGCATATCAGATCTCTCTCCTCATTTAACCTTCAAACATCAGCCTTCCAAGACACCCACTAGGCTCTTGATCCTGCGATAAATGCTGACTAATTAACTGTCATTCCCTTAGTGATGCAATCTTACCCTATTTGGGGTCGCGGGGGGTCTGAAGCCTATCACAGAAGCTACAGGCAGAAGAAAGGGAATAACCCTGGACGGGCCCAACCCATTATAGGGCACAGACACACCCTTCATACAACCATGCATACCTGTAGGGAATTTGGTAACTCTAATTAACCTCAGCATGTTTTTGGACTGTGGGCAGGGGCGGATTAAGGTGCACAGAGGCCCCTAGGCTACAGTAGTCTGTGGGCCCCCCAACCCCGCCCCCCTCCGCGCCAATGGGGGCCCCCTTGCAGGTTGGCACACGTGGGGCCCCTAGGCTTAAGCCATATCTAGCCTGTGCGTTAATCCGCCCCTGACTGTGGGGGAAGCCAGAGAACCTTGAGGAAATCCCAGAGTGACACGGGGAGATCATGCAAACCGCACATGCATGGAACCCTGGCAAAAATCCCAGTCCCAGAGGTGGGAGGCGACTGTGTACCGTCACACCACCCGTGAGGCGATTTTCTAGTGTGCATTTTATTTTCCACTTATTTACTTAGTTTTTTTTAATACCATTTAGGGCGTGCATCCATCAATAGAGAAAAACCTGAGTGTTCACACATCGCCTTTCAACATATGGCGCTGGTTTGCTGAAACAAAGTGTGAGACTACGCCTTAGCTTGGATTCAAAGTTCACTTTTGTGAGCATTGTACCTTTAACGCAGTGGTATTCCCCGCTGGAAGGCTGCTGCCGTCCAAGAGACGGAGTAGAAAGTTCTAAGACGGCAAAAAAAACAAAAAACAATAAGAATGAGGCACTGAATGGCTGGTTTGTTTTTATGAAATGCTTCATTCTAGAGTGACGAAAAGGCCAACATGACTGCTGACACGCCCAGAAGGTCTTCGCCAGTGACCGGACGCCATGCTCGATATTTCAGCCTTCTCAGCAACATTAAGGTACAGTATGATGCCCCTTTTCTTGCCGCCCTCAGAACTCATTGGACAGAGACACCTTTTCAGTTCCCAAACAGCAGCCCCTAGTTAAATTATAGCACACCTGTGCTCTGCCCGTCATGCTGCAATAGGGCTTTAGATGTAGCTTAGCACTTCTGCTTCCTAAACTTAATCTGAACTGCTTCACCAGATGATGAAAGAGCAGTGTATCCGCTGTGGTGAGGGGTGTCGTGAGGTGCAAAAGACTCCCAGGAAAGTCATGGGAGAGTAGTCAAACACTGAAGGGCTGCAACACGATCCTGCCGATTAGCCCCAGAACCAGTTTCTGGTATGAAAAAAATTGCACACAACCAGTGAAATTTTTTTGCATCCTACAAGGTTTTACTACTTTTCCATTTATTTTATAAACTGTAATTGTTTATCCTTGTTAAGCATTGTGAAGAACTACGAATGAAAATATAACTTAAATAAAACAAGTTAACAGTGCATGTCTGACATCCTACTAACTGGTTGTGTGGTGATGGCATAGTCAAATTCTAGGCTGTCTTTCAACTTTAAATGCACTAGTTTACCATTTCATTTCATGAAACAGAGCAGTATTTAATGTCCCTTGTAGAAAGAATGCCTTGAATTTTCTCTGCTGTTATAACTGCTAGAGGAGGTTACTTTGATGAATCAAAGATCGACATTTTCATGCTAACAAAAATACTCAAATGGTGAACATACTGTAAATTTATTTGTTAATAAAGAATATTGAGTGTAGTTTTAGTGAATGTTAAGTGAGTAACATGCAAACGTAGAAAATCTCGGTGCGTGCAAAATCTTTCGACTGGTACTGTACCTCATGGTTTCCCTTTTTTCATTGGTATTACCAGCATCACTGACTAAAGCACTATTTTTCAATTTCAAAACTGTGCTGATGTAGTTCAAGTCAAAAGCATACATGAAACAGATGAAACTGCAATTTCTTTTCAGTTTGGTTCATGGTTGAAAGGGAATCTCCAAATACAATGCCATCCCCTGACAGTTTGACTGCTCATTTTTAATTAACATAGGAAAGGACCTGAATGGCACCAGCTTCTTATAAATTAGTGTTTCACTGACCCCACAGAAACAATGTTAGTCAAAGAAAAATATTTTTTTTTCCCTTTTGAATGAAGCAACACTATCAGTTAGTGGTCATAACATCTGTAACAACTCTAACTGAAATGTCAGACAGGATCGTAGTCAGCAAACCTGCAAAGCCTGATTGTTTTCTAGTTCTCGCTTACAGAAATGCTGTCTGTGCAATTGAACCTGCAGAAAGGGGGAGAAAATTACACCACTGCATTCAAACATCTGCATACTATTAGTCAGCATATAAGACAGCTTGTAAAATTGCAGAATTTCATGTTTTTACGTAGGATAAACTTGGGGGAATTTGTTGTGGCAAAAAAAAAAAAAAAAAAAAACTCAAAAACATTTTCAAAGTAATCCCAGTGATTCAGCCAGTAAGCAAAAGTAGATATTTACAGACTTCTGCTTTTGTCAGGATCAAATCCCTTTCTTCGTCATACTTTTATCATTCTTTTTGCCACACATGAACCTGCAAAAACCTTGTGCATGAAGCAAACACCTTATGCTTATATGAGCGTCTTTCCATTCCATGCACGTGCCTCAGAGAGCCATGGATATCTTGGATTCAGGGGACCCAACACTTTATAATCTACCATTGGAGGTGCCACACTCTACTGAGGGGCAAGCCCCCCCCCCCCTGCATTTCTTCAAGTTTAAAGTTTCATGGCGTGTGGCTCAGTGACAAAGTGGCTAACCTCAGTTGTATGTTGCTTTGGATAAAGGCATCTGCTGGGCAGACAACAAATAGACTAGCTGTTGACCTTACTCTTACTGGTTTGCAGTTCTTCGTCTTCTGTCAAGGGCTGCTCCAGCTCGCCCAGCTCCTGGTATCAGGCTACCTGAAGGGTTCCATCACCACCATCGAGAAGAGATATGGCTTGTCCAGTCAAATGTCAGGCCTCATCGCCAGTTTCAATGAGGTATGGCGAGGTGCTCACTGGAAGTTCATGATTACCTTCCCTCAAGACCAGTGTCTCTCAGCCCAGTCCTCAGGGGCCCCCAGTCAGTCCATGTTTTTGCTCCCTCCAAACTCCCAGCAACTAAACAATCAAATACCTGGTACAGGTGTGTTCTAGATCATCAGTTACCAATCAGGTAGGAATGTCTTGTTGAAACTTGCTTTGAGTGTTTAATAAGTGAAAAATGGTTTAATAAAAGATATGAAAACTATCCAGTTTTTCTTTTGTTGGTGATACAAATCCAGCCCAACCAGTTGATGAATTTAACGACGTTGATTCAAAAGATGATGCTCCAGTGAATACAGTATATTGTTGTGCTACTTAACATTTCCCTCTTAAATAAAAAACAATGTAACCCAGTCAGTAAACAGGAGAATGACGTGTTCTGACACAGATATTTTAGCAGTCTTAATAACTAGGTGAATGTAACAGGGTTATTTCAGTATTCATTTTTTTTTTTTTTTACTGAATTTCTAATCTCTTCTATGTTTTTAGATCCTGTACAGCTGAAAAATAATATTAGTTTTAGTTTATGTTTTAAACTCAGTTTTTGTTTTATGAATAAACATTGTATCGTTATAATAATTCCTGTAATAATGCAAATATTACAACAATTATTATAACGATTAAACATAACCAGACATCACAAGAAGTTTATTCAAGACCTTTTATTCATTATTAAGAGCAAATTATGAGCTCATAACCAGGTATGGGGGGGTGTTTGTGGCTCTGTGGGTTATGTCCATGGCCAGAAAGTCACGGGTTCAAATGCTGTGGCTGGCAGAGTGATGTCACCATTGTGCCCTTGAGCAGGACTTTTAACTGCAGTTGCTCCAGGGACTGGGGCTGGTCCTACTCTGTCAAAAAAAACGTCTGTCAAATAAATAAATGTAAATGTTTATCCTGGGCTTCTGGGGGAAACAGCCTGCACAGGGAGATGTTGTATTCAATCTATGACAAAGGAAAACACTACCTTCCTGTTTCGCCAGAGTATTTAGAGTGTCCTGGAGTAAACCTACTGGGCAGCCGCTCAAAATATGGGGATTAGGGTTTGAGAAAGCTGGGGCAAGAGCCATAAAATTCTGTCCCAGACATACTTCTTTACATTTGCCGTTAGTGTTACTAGGCTCTGTATACTGTATATCTCTCAAGCAAGAGGTTGTGGTGCTATTTTCTGTAATTTCTTTAATGTCTGAACAAGAGAGACTACAAACCTTGAGAAGGCTCATGCAGCTATACAAAAAAGTAACAAATGAGGGCTGAAAGAAAAGAAAAGCTGAGCCTTTATGGACATCTGCTGAAATTCATAATGTATAGAATCACACGCCTCCCTTTAGTGGCCCAAAAGCCACAGGAGGAAAATTTTTAGCAGATGTGGAAAGTTCAGATGCAGAAAGTACAAATCCAGACCAAGGTTTGTTCCATTTTCTTTTGCAACAAAATACAAGTAAGCAGAATATTTGGTCTTTGACTACAGATTATAGACTAACTATGATTTCATTAGCAGATTTAATCAAACAAAACCTTGGTCTGGATTTGTACTTTTTGGACCTGAACTTTCCACCTCTGCTGAAAACCTTATAAACCAAATGGCCTGTATAATCGGGATTGGTGGACTTGCTCGGCATGGTATTAACATTCCACGATGCGTGTGTCACTTTCCAGGTGGGGAACACGGTCCTGATCGTGTTTGTCAGTTACTTCGGGAGCCGGGTACACCGGCCACGCTGCATCGGAGTGGGCGGCCTGATCGCCAGTGGGGCAGTCCTTCTCATGGCCCTCCCACACTTCATCAACGGGCCATACGAGTACAGCAGCTCCATAAGCAGTGAGTTGGCACCGCGTCTCCCAACCCACCACCCAGCAGTCAGACCGTCTTCGTACTTCGCCCAATGTTGCCAATGTTCAGACTGCTTGCTAACAGGCATGAAAACTGGCTGTGACAGATGGTTTACAGTGTGCACCTGGACTATGGGGGTGACACAGTGTCTCAGCAACTGGCACTGTTGACTCATATCTCTGAGGGTGGGACTTAAATCGTACCTCCACCCTGTGTATGAATCAGGGGCGTCAGACGCATTTTGAATGTGGGGGAGGGGGGGGGCACACTGGCATAAAACACATTTTTTATGTTAAATGTGGGGGGGTTCAGACTAATAATTATGAGATGTGAGGGGGACGCGTTAAGATTCAGTTAAGATAACTGGCATCTATAAGTTGTGAATATGTCTGTATGTTTCTTGCGATGATCTGGCAACCCATCACGGTGTGTCCCTCTGTACCTTATGCTTTGTGGGATACCCCCCAGCCTCCCCCCCATCAACCAGCCAGGTAGAGAGCAGAAGTGACTTTCTAATGCCAGAGATGACCGTCAACTAAGTGGCGGTCTTCAAAAAAAAAAAGGGCAACATTAAGTGGTGTAAAGTGCACTGCTAGGATAATTCATAACAGGCTCCTAGAAGCAGGACAGAAGTCCCATAAAACAAGAAAGAAGCGCTTCATTAATGAAAAGCAGGGAAGAGCCAGGCTGAAGTTTGCAAAAAAAATGGACATTTTACACATACTCAAGAACTGAGAAATAAGTTAAACAGAAAACTTTGCTGTGGTCTCTGATTTTTTTTCCAGAGCTATATGTGTTTCCAGTGCACACTATAATATTGTTGGGCTCCTGTAAAATGGGGTTCCTGTGGTTTGTTTTCATTCCAAATAAATGTACTTATAAATAGCGATTTAATGGCAGGACCGACGCAGTCACTCGCCGCTTACTTATTCCTGTGGCTGTTTGAGGGCCCGGCCCATGTGGAGTTTCCAAGCTTAAATCCTGCTGTGGGATGACTTAGCTGACTTTGTCCACTGAATTTTGTTTTCCCCAACTTTTCATAGCACAGTCTGAAACGCCTGAAACACTTCCTGTGCTTTCACTTTTGCTTATCGACAGTCTTTGGAGTTTTGAGATCCTTCTGAAATCACAGCAAAGTAGTTTAGTATCATAACATTCAGCTGTAACTGCTTGTGGACAATGACAGAAATGGGGAATGTGGATTTTTATAAAGAAACTTGAATTCATTCCTGGTCTGGAAAAAGAAACAATTCTGAAGCCATCAGCAGCAGCTTCTGCTTCCTGTGTGCTTGACTTCCCCTCTTCTATTTAGATGCAGCGGACAACAGGTCTAGCTCTGACCTGTGCTCTGCGTCAAATCAGTCGTACGGGACTTCGCAACTGCAGAACCAGACGGAGACGGGGAACCCCGATCACTGGGCCGTGATTCCCATTCTGCTCCTGGGCCAGCTGCTGCTTGGCATTGGCGGAGTGCCTATCCAACCTTTCGGCATCTCCTACATCGACGATTACGCCAGCAGGAAGAACTCGCCCTTGTACCTCGGTACGGACATCGCAAAGCATTATGGGCATTTACTATCACTCTCATATCACACCCTGAATACCACATTAATAACCGACTTAATTCTCCTAATCAGTGCCTTGATGATTAATTGCTTGGCAAAATTTGATGGGCTGATGATGCAATAGAGAAATATGGGTCTATAATGTCAGCCACATGTTAAAATGAACAAAAGTGTCTGTCAGTGATTGTTCCATTTGTACCTTGTATTGACTGACAAATGACTAAACATTATTTGGTAAGCCATTTATAAGAATATACTAAACTAGAGATTTATAGTTGTTCGAAGAAGGTAAACCCACGATAAATAAAAGCTCCAGTCACTGTGAATAACTTAGAACATATATGTAGAACATACATGTTTTTGCACCATTCAGGGAAACTATACGTGTGTGGTGGCTTCTTTACCCTCCAGGTATAATGTTTGCTGTATCAGTGATTGGCCCGGCCTTTGGATTCCTGTTGGGCTCCCTCTTGCTCAGGTTCTACGTGGACTTTGACAAGCTGCCCAAGGGTACGTTGGCCCTCGTCTCAGTTTTTGCCACTCTCATTTGTTGTTATCTAGGTGCATGGTAGAACCTTCCGTCTGGAACAGATTAGAGCGTTGAAAGCTGGACCTCCTATGGTGTCCATCTGGACAGCTCAAAAGAGCATGTGAACTCTCTTAACTTAGCAATGGGATCACAAATAATTAACACAGCATTTTCTGTAGACTCCCTTTGATTGATCATGTATTTTTACAGCTACTGGCAGCAGTCCAAGAGAATTATCCTGAATCAGAAGTCCCTCTGTTGTTCTGTGTTTCATGGGAGGTTCTAGCCTTATACAGCTGACCCATCTGCATTGCAACTTTCTCCATCGTGGTTTTGATAAGAAGTTTTGCAATGTGATAAAAAAGTTTAGTAACTTATAACGCACAGTGCTGGTTTGGTGGATGCCAAGTGTGTTTACGGCAGCCTCTCTCATGATATCTCACGGTGATCGCTGTATCTCATATTTCTCGTGTCTTTTTGCTCTGCACTGCTCTGCTCACATGCTCTCTTCGCTCGCCAAGGGGACCAAAACATTTTATGCAGTTTTTTGAGAGCGTAAATAAAAAAGACAGTTTTATAACTTTACTAGCTAGTTTGTTCCAACAATTTAGCCCTAACACCAACTTAGCATTTTACTACATGAAAGTCCATATATACAGTCTGTGTTTCGTCCAGTTTGACCGAAATGTCATAATATCAGGATAACAGATGGATGACAGCTGTAAACAGGCTTCAGAGTGCGGCATTAGCTTGAGTGTGAGTCCTGGGTAAATTTCATCGCAGTTTGTCAGATGTCTCTGCTTTAGGTTGATGTCACAACTCTCGCTGACCTTTGAGAACCAATAAGAGGGCAGGGTGAAATGCTTCTGTTTATCATGAACAGTTAAGTGACCAAAGGCAAGCATTCCAGTTGCTGCATCTGAGCACAATATGCCAAGACCTTGAAAATTGTCGTGACCCCTGAAGTAATTCTAACGGAGGTGGGAGGGAAAAGATATCGTTTTAGAGACTGTTTGCTCAGAAACAATCAAGGCTAAACACTCCGACAGGGTTAAGCAAAGCAAAAAAAACCCTGGAACAAGGAAGGGGGGGAGGGAGAGAGAAAGAAAGTGAAAGCGAGTGACTTATAATCTCAAGAAAACCAAAACGGCTGCATTTCACCGTTTCTCTCACCTTCCCAGGGATACTAACACAAGCACAACAATGTTCATGTTCAGCAACAGTTTCCTTTTGGTTTTTCAAGTTACAGGGTTTTCACCCAAAGAACCTAAACAAAGATAGAGAAACATAATAAGCGACTGAAGCAGAAAGCAGAGTCATTCCACTCGGTGACGGTTAGCTGTTTGCTGATTATGTCTGCTAATGAAAACATAGTTTGTGTTTAATCATTAACCAAATATTCTGCTTCCTTGTATTTTGCTGCCAAAGAAAATGAAAGATTGTATACTCCTGGCTTAAAGTTTCGCCTTCTGTTTTAATAATACCCACATTTTAAATGAATCCCTATATGGTACTGGAAAAGAGAATTAAGATGTCTGGGCGTGTTGTGACTGGCAAGAGAATGTTGATTATATTGATGATTATATTTGTTTGTAAATAGATAAGGCACTGGCATTTGTCCTTTTCCAACCCTTGAGTGTAGAGTATAAATACTATACACAGCTGTATAAATGATGAGTAATTTTAATAATGGTATTCAGCTTGGCCATTATGTGTATGTTTGCTTCTTCCTAGATAAAATAGAGCTGACCAATGGGGATCCCAGATGGATCGGGGCATGGTGGCTTGGTTTCCTGCTGGCAGCTGGCTTACTTTTCCTAACCTCGCTGCCATACCTGTTTTTCCCGGCCAAGATGCCAAAAGAGGTAGGTCCACACGCAGCAGAGACACGGAGGCACACTCGGCCGCATGCCGACTTGGTCGCAAACCGCAGCATCATCAAAGCTCATCAGCACCCTGCCACTGGTTATGGATTCATCGGCAACTACTGAAAAGTTTGATCTCACAATCCTCTATGGACGAGATCTGTTGGGGGTCACAGGCACCACGGTTAAACTAAAAGAAAACAAGCGGACAACCTGAGATCAGGCTTGTCTGAACGTGCCAAGAATGAAACGCTTGCAGAGAATCTCCAAGAATGAATTAACTCATTGCTGCCCAAATAGGATGACTGGACTCTGTCTGTGTCCTTGGTGCAGCCTTGTCGTTTTTCTTAATTTCTCAATAAGATACTTTCTGGATTCTTGGACGATGTATGAACTGCAGTACGTGCAAATTCTTACCACTGCTGTCCTCCAGTGCTGGACCTGGCATATCACACACTGCAGGGTCTCCCCAAACAAATCCAGTGCAGGATCTCAGTGAGTCTGAAGCAGTGTTTCCCAATCCAGACCTCAGGGACCCAAAGTCGGTCCATATTTCTGCTCCCTCCGAGCTCCCTACCAGACAGTCCAGATTTTATCTCCATTACAAGGCACTCTCTCGACAGAAAACTTCGGGACATGATGTCACTATAATTACGTCGTTAGACTGCTAGAATGTAACTGAATGCCCATTCAAACTGAACACTGGGGCTTTTTGTCACGCTTTTCACTTTGCTTTATATATCCTGGGATCGATACGTCATATTCTTATAAATGGCTTACCAAATAAAAGGAAGTCTAAAGCTATATTTTTATTCATTACATTTTCAGGTCTTACTTCAGAAGTGAGGTATAGGAAGTTAAATAGCTAGTGTGCACTTGTGTGAATGTGCCCCATCAGTGGTTAAGTTGTCACACTATGCAGAGGAAGATATCACACTGGAGATTGCAAGAAATAAAAACACAACAAATTTAAGTCCTGACAGAACAGCTGCATTTCAACTTTCATGTAGCACATTTCAAATATTTTGAAATAAAACTATTATGCTATCTTTGTTTTTATTCTAGTACAGACCTAATTGACTAATCAGACTGATTGTCAGAAATGCAGTTCTGGCAGTGGTTGGCCTCAGGTGCACTCTTCAGTGGCCCACTGCTTGTGCTTCTTGCACTGGACCCAAACTTTACTGGGACGGCTATTAGAAAATGGGTCCTTGCAAATAAGGTACAACAACACATCTGACAGTTGTATAGAGTCTTGCTTTTTGTAGCTGCCTTCCATTTTTTCATTTCCTCTCTTATGGAACATATTTTTTCTTTGGGTAATACCTGCTTTTCACCTCCCAGTTCTTCCTTCACTGGTGTTTGAGCTATTTTTCTGGGACCAACTTTTGGATAAGACCAAATAGTCTGCGGAGGTGGTTGGTGGTTAGAGTTGGCATTCCTGGGCAAGGGTGAGGTGGTGTGATGACTTGCCCTAAAATCAAAGAGACACCTTGTCCCAACTGCCATCTCCGCTAAGGCTCGCTAAATCTTAGATTAACTTCGTGCGTCAAATTAGTAAAAAGTCTTCTATAAAGTACAAATACATAATTGTGAATATTCGTTACTACAAAAAAACTACATACAATGTAGTTTTTTTTACTTTAGATCAGTGGTAGGCAAGGGTAGGTAGGAAGGATAGAAAACATACTCCATACCAGCACTCCAGGGTCAGGGTCACCTACTCCTGCTGTTGAGTATGAAAAAAAGTAAATCTGTGCTCGCCTCAGCTCACAGCACTGCTGGCATCTCCCATACTCAACATCACATCAGATTAATTAGATGCACTAGCCCTGCTAGTGCATCTAATGCACCAGAATCCTGGCAGTGCAAGACCATAGGCAGGATTTTCCACCTCTCTGTAAATCACTATCAGCCTTAGGGTCGAAAGCAAAATCTGAACTGGTTCATTTGACTAGTGATAGATTAAGTCAATGTCAATGACTGAGTGTTAATGTAGACTACAAAACTGCATTCACTACAAAACACTTGAGCTGAAAAGATACTGTATTCCATGCTGTCAGACTGAGCCAAATGTTTCAATTACTACAGCATATTTTTCCCTCCGACAGCATCTTGCGCAAGTTCCCGTAAGTATGGCCTAATTATCTGTAGGCAACTCTACATTGAAGGAGTGTCAGGATTAGAAACAGATGGTTATATTGGAAGGACCTTAAATGGGAAACCTCAGAGGAAAAAAGTTATAGTCGTATATTATTTTAAATCACTTTTTGATGTCAAGCTACAAGAGAAGAAGAAAGTAGCAGTGAGAACTTGAGACCCATCGAGGCATGGACTCCACAAGACCTCTGAAGGTATCCTGTGCTATTTGGCACCAAGACGTTATCAGCAGATCCTTTAAGTCCTGACAGTTACAAGGTGGGGCCTCTATGGATTGGACTTGTTTGTCCAACACATCTCACAGATGCTCGATCAGATTAAGATCTGGGGAATTTGGAGGCAAAGTCAACACCATGAACACTTTCTCCTGTCCTCAAACCAATTTTTGCATTGTGGCAGAGCGCGCTGTCCAGCTGAAAGAGGCCACTACCTTTGAGGAATACCATTGCCATGAAGAGGTGTTAGCTGGTACGTGTCAAACTAACATCCACATGAATGCCAGGACCCAAGGCTTCCCAGCAGAACACTGGCTAGTATGTCTCCTCCAACTTGCCTTCTTCCCATAGTGCACCTGGCCGTCCACATGATGTAACACATAATGCGACTCATCAAACCAGGCCACCTTCTTCCATTGCTCCATGGACCAGCTCTGATGCTCATGTGCCCCTTGTAGGCACTTTCTGCACTGGACATGGGTCAGCATGAAAACTCTGAGAGGTCTATGGCAACGCTGCCGCATACACAGCAAGCTGCATTGCACTGTGTGTCAAGACACTTTTCTATCATAGCCAGTATTCATTTTTTCAGCAATTTATGCTACAGTAGCTCTCCTTTGAGGTCAGACCAGACAGACTGGCCTTCACAAATGCACATGCATCAATGAGCCTTCGGTGCCCGTGACCACATTGGCCTTCCTTGGACCACTATTGGTAGATACTGATCACCGCATACCAGAAACACCCAAGAAGACAAACTGTTTTGGAGATGTGCTGTCTAGCCATCACAATTTGGCCCTCGTGAAAGATTCTTATATTAGCCCATTTTCCTGCTTCGAGAACTGACTGTTCACCTGCCTAATATTTAATGGGATCGTTGACCAATGTAATGAGATGAAATAATCAATGTTATTCTCTTCACCCATCAGTGATTTTAATGTTGTGGCTAATCGGTGTATATAGTGTTTGGCAGTTTGCAGCATCGATGCTGTACTTCCGCAACATTCTACAGATAAATGATATTGTCTAATGACGGGAATTGTTCCATTTGGTCATAAGCCAGTCTTGATAATGATCAGTTTCCTTTTTCCATAGCAATTTATTCAGTGTGTGGTCACAGTGAGCTTATGGCAGGATGTATGAAGCATTAGGCACGGAGCGGCACCGGCAGGATGCGGGTCCATCCTAACGCACAACACATCAGGCAACAAAGGCCGCTTAGAAGCAGACGTCAAGCTCAGCTTAACACAAGAAACCTACGAGTCGGGGGAAGGGTGACAGACATATTGTATTTTTCACGGAAATATCACTGAAGGTGCTGGCAGTTACATTTCCGGAAAAAGGACCTTATTTCCCAGATATAACATCTTACAGGTAAAATAAAAGCGATGACTTAAGAACTTTAAAAAGAAATGAATTTGTCAAACGGAGATTTAAATATAACTCATGAATGTAGCTTTTGAATATGGCATAGAGTTTCGGTTCTCGTTGTGACGTCAAACGTGAACTTTATTTCATAAGCTGTCACTGATACAATCTCCCATAAGCTTAGACACTGATACTCATCTTCCAAACACAGGACCCTACAGAGGCTGGTACAGAACTCGAACCTGAAACCCTGATCAGCGAGACTACACCTACTGAAGAACCTACACTGCTGGAATTCCTTAAAGGTAATGATGTTTGAAAGTAAACTGCCCACATCTCCATAAAAAAGCCTGAATACATGCCTAGACAGTGTAATGAGCAATAAGACAAAACCAATGAATCAGCAGTGTGTGGCTCAGTAGGCTAAGCCTGTGTGCTTGTAATCACACGGTCGCCGGTTCAAACCCAGCCTCAGCACGTCTGTGGGTCATTGAGCAAGGTCCTTAACCCCCAGCTCCCTGGGCGCTGCTACAGGTGGCTACCCTTCACAGACAGCTTGTTCTACAAAGAGCAAGTTGATGGAGGCGTAAAAAGAATTTCCCCATGAGGGACAATAAAGGTTAAATTATTATTATATGACCTCAAATGGTGAGTGCATTCTCAGTTATTTAACTCTCCCTGGTCATAAACTAGTAAGTTTTAGAAGATTAAATAGTTGAACAGTTCATGCACCCAGCAAAGAGCCGCTGTTGTCTACCTGAGGAAAATATATATTCCAAATTTCTCCATTGAATATCCAGTGTTGAAACTGGCAGAATATGAATGAAATGCAAAATTTTAAATAGCTATCTTCCTGCAATATGATCCTATTCTGGATAAATGGTGTGGGCAATTAATGGATGGATGGAATATTCCTTCTTTGCAGCTTTTCCAAGGATTGTAGTGAGAACTCTGAAAAATCCCATCTTCCTGCTGGTGGTGTTGGCCCAGGTCAATCTGGCTGCCATGGTAGCTGGACTCGCCACCTTCATGAACAAGTTCATCGAGCAGCAGTTCTCGAAGGCGCCCTGGCTGTCAAACATGATTATCGGTGAGTCAGTGGTGCTTAACTCCTCTGCAACCTACCCCAGCTCCACATGCCTGTGCCTTGCAAAAGAGAAGAGAATCTTAGATGGAGTAGAAGAGACTGGTTGGACAATTACGGACCACTAAGAAATTGATTAATCACTCACAATTTTGTATTTACATTACAATTATTTACCAAATGTTTTAATCCAAAGTGACGTACAATTCAGAAAGCAGGGTTAGAAAATCCCTGGATCAACTGGGCTTAAGGAGTTTCACTCAAGGGCCTGAATGGGATTTGAACCAGTGACCACCTGATCAGGGGTATGAGTTTTAACCTGGAGGGTCATATACCCTTTATATTGCGGCACCCTGCAGACACCGCAGCAAAAACAACCAAGAGGCAGTTTTAGCAGCACAACATTGTTCTTTTATTATAGCCCTTAAAAGGACTCTTTATTGCCCACAATTGAGCAAGAGCAATTCTCAGTATACCAGCACAGCCAAGAAGTAAGATTAGATCACACCACTCAGATCTTCTCCAGTGGGGAAATGGAGGGGCAATCATGTTGCACATAATACTTCGCACATGTAGTAAGCAGCATTTACAAAACACAACACGGGTAAGATACAGGGGCTATTTAAACATCGTGCAGAGCCCGCTGGGAGTATGCGACTGAGATCCGCTACACAGAACACAGTCCACCAACATTACAATATTATATTAACACAAATATGCCCTGCTTGCTTTCTGCGCCATCCCCGCCCCCCCTCCTCCCCCAACCCCGTCCTAGGTGGTATCAACATCCCTATGGCTATGGTGGGAATCATGGCTGGTGGGGCAATCATGAGAAAACTGCACATGTCGGTGAGGAGCTCCGCCCTGCTCTGCACTGTCGTGGTCTTCGCCTCTGTCCTCATCGCCATGCCACTCCTTTTACTTGGGTGCCCCACCCAAGAGGTTGCAGGCATCTTCTCCTCCAGGTGCGTGTCATTCTCATGGACGACCCCCTCAGCATGTGCAGCGGTCCGCCGCGCGCTTTAATCGCAGCCCCTCCTGCTGTGTCTGTAGGAGGGTTTCCAGTTATTATTTATCTGTTGAGACTCATCTGTTTTGTCTGTGAAATCACATTCAACCCACACTCTGCCGTTTGCCGACGATGTTGGGCTGCATATTGCCACAATTTCAACTAATTGTTTGCAGATGTTCAAATCATATCGAAAGCAAGGCGTTTGGCCTTTGGGAGTCTCTGCCACATTCCCACCCACCCAGGGCATGCAGCTGGACATTCCCTTAACAATCGTCAAAGCAAAACCAAGTTCCTAGAATTCTAGCCGCCTATGATGGGACTCAAAAGAGATAGGGGGGGGGGGGTGGCTTCTCTCCTGTTGTCTCTCAGCTCCATCAATAACATTCAACAAGCTGCAGCTGGTTTAGAGCTGCGTTGGACATCTCATTTAATGTCAGCTGCTCATAAAAAGTCAAAGCATGTGTAACATATATCTGTGATATCATCCTCAGAGTAGGGCATCCAGAACACCCTACTGAGGATTGTGTGACTTTCTGGAATCTTCTCTTTAAAGCTTTTTTTCCCTCTAAGATAATTACCATTCTTGTCATCCGTCTTTCCTCTGTCATGCTTTTGTAAGCTTACTCTTGCGGCCTTTTTTGTGGCTTAGTCGAATGTGTTGTTCTTTCGAAGCCCTCAGAGGCAGGTCACGTCGACTGCATGCAGCCTGGAGTGTTCCTGCGACCCGCAGGCCTACAATCCTGTATGCGGCTCCAACGGCGTGGAGTTCCAGTCGCCTTGCCACGCTGGCTGCAAGGATTGGGACTTTGACAAGAAGGTTCGGATAAGTTCACCACCATTTACCCACAGGAAGAACAACCCCCCCCAACACCCAGTCACACTTCCCCATCACAAAAGCTGACCTTGAAATCATAATAACAACCAGAACTGCAGTTACTCTGAGGCTAAGAAGCCAGTTCTGTGTGCTCATCTGTACATCACACAGTGTATTTGCACAGGATCAGGAGAATACATCAATTTTGTTGGCCTTTAATGTAATAATATATTGGCAGTAAGTACCATGAATGACAATATGCTGTTCTAATGGTTTGGTACAATTAACCATACAGTCAACATGGAATAAAGTCATATAAGCTGATGTCTTCCTGATGATCCTTCAGGAATCACTTCAGTCCATAAATATTGCTTTTTTGCAGACTTCCAGCTACATGTTCTCCCCTGAAGCAACCAGGCCTATTAAGCAATGTTCTTCAGATCATCAGCCAAGTTGGAAAGAAGGGCTTCTGCTTTTGACTAAGTGCTAACCTGCCTCATTTCACTGCCTCTATCCCCACAGAACTATACGGCTTGCAGATGCATTGGGGAGGATGGTGCCGGATCTGCCCGAGGCGGTTCCTGCGGCACGCGCTGCACCCACCTTTTCTTCCCCTTCTTGATCCTCTGTGCCCTGGCAGGTCTTATGGCATCCCTCTCCCAGACACCTTCCTTCATGATGATCCTCAGGTAGGTGGAGGGGGGGGGGGAAGGGGGGGCGTAACCCCGATGTCGCACAGTAGTGGGAGGGATGTGACCAAGTAGTTGAATGTGGGATTTGGCCAAACACACATAAAATATCTGATTCGCACCAATCAGACACAAATTTTTGAGATATCGGACAAGGGGAATTACATATCTACTGAATAGAACCAGTTTTGTAATCTTTTGCCCCCTAATTATCTTATTTAGGACAGTAACACCAGAAGACAAGTCATTTGCCCTGGGGATACAATTCATGATTTTTAGAGTATTAGGTGAGTATGGGAACCACCAATTATCTCATGATGTGGTAAAGTACTGTAGCTCCTTAATGTATTAAACATACAGATACTTTGTATATTTTCTGTTAAGTAGTATAATTTTCATAAACAGACATGAGTGATATCTGCCTTGAGAAAACTCCTTAAAATGAATTACGTGCATTTTTGATAAGTACAAAAGGCAATGTATATCCCGCGCATTACTGACAATAATGTTCACGAGCCTCCTTTGAATTTCTCTTGTGAAATGTCATTTCCTGCATCTTTGGTAATCACAATGTTTTCCTTCTGGAACACATGGTGGGCAAATGGCGTTGTAATTGTACTCATCATTTACTAACAATTGGAGGATCTCAGCATTTCTTAGTTTTGCCAGCACTGGCAATTTGCGCTACAGATACTGTCCCCAAGCCGAGCTGACACCTTAGGCCTGGGAAGATGTTTTGAGCTCAGGCTGCTGAAAGTTGGAACAACCAATAAACTTTACCGAAGTCTATCATTATCATCGGTAGCTATTTACATAACAAGCATGAAAGCCAGACTTTTTGGTTTTAAAGCAGGAGCTGGGAGGGAGCAAATACGTGAACTGTTTGGCAGGGAGCTGGGAGGGAGCAAAAATATGAGCCTTCTGGGGGTCCCCAAGGACTGGTTTTAGAAATACTGCCCTACAGTATTCTGACACTGCATTACCACCAACAACCAGAGGGGGTGCCGAAGTACCCTCAGTACCTATACTTCCAGCACTACAGCCCGATACCTCTTGGTTCTTGTATGTCTCCGTGAGGCCTGGGGCACAGCACACATGAAAAGTCTGTGAAAATCACAGCTGTCTTTTGTCCCAAAGCCTTCATGCCAGGCCCAGTCATATACGGAAGTGCCATTGACACAACCTGCATCTTCTGGGGGGCAAAAGGCAACAAAAGAACGTCTTGTCGCTACTACAACTTGGACCTGTTCCGCCAAAGGTATGTGCCGTACAGAGAACAGAACAGGGTGAAACTGACACCTTTACCTTAAAGGCCTTCATATTTTGCTGTGTGTATTGAAATTAGCCCAAGAACATAAACAGACAGAGAAGTGGTTTCCATTAAACATCTGTCATTTCTGACCTTCAGGTTCCTGGGCCTTCAGGTGTTTTTCTTGTTCGGTGGTTTCATCTGCTTCCTGATGACCCTCATAATCCTCCGAAGAATAAAACGTCCATCACCTCCCAACAGCCAGGAGAAAGGTGACCTGGACTCTGGGATTAAGCCGAACGACCTGCAGCATGACGGAAAATCAGGGGAGATTATGAAAATGTGTCCTCCAGAAGTCTGAGGGCTCTGACTCCCTTGGGTGCCCCTGTAGGTGGGATCCTTAATTGGCTTAAATTCCAGCTTACCATGGGACTCTGTCTGTCCCCTTCTGCATACTGAACAATGGTGCCACAATACTGGCAGAAGTCTGAGGTTTTTGGTTGGATCTTTCCGCTGTTGTGTGGCATTACTTTAGACGGGGCCTTTCCTGCTGGAGATGGTCAGACTATAATATCGAATTTTAACATGAAGTGAGACACGCATGTTATCTGGAGGAACTGAAATGTGGCTCCCATGTGATCAGGTCAGGTGATACTTTCAATGACCCAACGTGTAAAGAATGTGATATGCAGTAACGTGTTTTGTGATTAATCATTTCACGGGAGCCGGTTTATGTCTTCTGTTTTCATTACGGCAATGTGTCTTTTGTGAAAAATAGACCTCCTCTCTACTGTTTAAATCAACACTACTTGGAAGAACATGATGTGAATCTGTGTATATTACATTGCTTCAGTGGAGGTGACTTACATTAATCCTCCCAAACATTTGTGATGAAGTTCTTTTATATATATATATATAGTTTACAAGCTTTAATTCTGAATGCAACGAATTCTATGTAAATTCAGAAATCCAGTGCACGGACTTTATCACAATTCATCACTTTTTCACTCTACGTAGCCAAATGTGGACTGCAACATTTCATGTTATGAAATTAACACTAAAGCCTTCATACCAAACAGCATTCAAAGGTAAGAGATTCATCCACATATATAGCTTGTGTAATGTGTGTGTGTGTGTGTGTGTGTCAGCGTGTATACCTTACCTTATGGGGACAAAATTTAATACAAATCTACAACTGCAACGAAAAAACGAAAAATGCAAAAACTCTTGTTTATTGCTTGGTTACTTATAGTTATGGTTAGGGCTGGGTAGGGGTTAAGGTTGTCATAGTTAGCATTGGCATTTTTCCCATAGAAATGAATGAGCGGTCCCCATAAAGATATGTTTACCCGACATGCGTGTGCGTGTATGTGTGTGTAGCTACTGTATAATGGCCAGTCTTAACAAAGTGCAATCACTGTATTGTAAATAAATTAACCAAAATAGTACTCCAACTTAAAAAACAGAAGCATGTACTTTTATACCAACATTAGAGGTAATTCATGTGTTTTACAACTACCAAAGAATTAAAAGTATATTCATGAGGTTGGGTTCTGTGTTGTATTTTGAGTCTTATGCGTCCTGATCACTAAAAGACTAGCATGAGCTAGTTTGTGTCCTAGTCATGACACTGCTAATGCCGCTCACTGTGGTTTGGGCTGCAACTTGGCAGTCAAGCAAGGGGGTCCCTATTTAAAAAACATTACTCTCTGACGCATTTTCTTATAATATCAATAAGGAGAATTACACAATGACAGGGAACCACCGCATCTCTTCACCAAAGGTCACATGGGGTGGTGACCGTATGTTGACTGAGTGAGCTGGGAGCCCTTTTTAAGCTGGGACTTTAGCTTGGGTTAGCCCCTGTTTTTTTATGAAAGCAGAGGATAGGTAATAATAAGATATTAACATCTGATTTTTTAAATAAAATTATTGCTGGAAAAAATCTGATAATAAGTAGGCAGGAGATGTCGTTTTACTTTATAAGTCTCTGTTTACTCTTTAATCTGGTTTAATCAATTGGGACCAAAACGTTAGAAAAGGAACAGATTTCCGAGAACCAGAAGTTTCACGGTAATACTAAAGGCAAGAAGAAACTGAAATGAAAGTTTTAAGATTTGATACCGCTGTCCTCATTCGTAACAGACAGCTTACAGCCGCGCTGGAGAGACGGGAAATGTAAGTCAAGCAGACGATTTCCAAATCAAACATTATCCCCTGAAGATTCTGCAACATCCTGCAACTTCTGGCAGGAGTCTGCGCCGCGATTGAATATAGCAAACATCCACTTTCGTTTCCATATTAGTATGTTGTGAAACATCCGGTCGGTGCTCCCGAGACGAGGACGCTGAACCAGAAATCCTCACCTCCCCACATTGCAATTGAACGCGAGATTTACGGCAACGTTATTTTTTTCGTAATAATGCATATTGTGTATGTACTGTGTGTATAATACCTTTTTATTTATTATTAATGTGGTTAAGAAACAGAGATGCAAAGTATGTGCTTTAAAGCTGATAGTATATAAATCCCGGGCATGCACGCCTGAGACGACTTGTAGCGCTTTGATTTGTTTAATTGAAAGACTCATGATCCAGCTGTTTCACATTAAAGGAGACTGACCTACCAGCACACAGCAAGATCTTAGCACTTAAGTGAAATCCAGCGCCTTTTGATTGAAATGTTAGTTTACAAATCCTGTCCTAGCTCAAAGTGTCCACCCTGACATGGATTATTTGGTCTTGAATTCAGTTGTTTACCGTAAAGGCTGTGTAAATCCATGCTGTGAGGTTGTGTAACCTCTGTGAGGTTATGATTGTGTTCTATGCTGGCATTTCCACCTTAGCACAAGAGGTCTTTTGCTATTTTTCTTGCACCCCACCCCCCAAGTGCAAACATCAAACTCCGCCTATGATCCTGGCAGCAAAGCCGCGTAATGTAATCCCCCCGTAACGGCGGCTGATACGCTCCAAGAGCTAGACAGCGGTTATATAAACCATCCGAGAACCTCATGCATACCTAAGGCGATTTTCGTAAACATTTATACATATGGTAAAGTTAAATCGCAACAACTAACAGTATGACATTGCCAATATTAAATACAGTAATAAGAAAGTACGTTGTATACAGCACTGTAGTCCTACTGTCTTGAATGAAATGGATTCTAACGTTTTAGCCTAATTCTCAAGAAACGATACAGCAATGAAAAAATATCATACAGCCTATCAAGGGATAACGGAACAACGAAAACCATGCTTTTTATACTCCTCAAAGGACGAAAGAACAAGGAAAAGGCATATGGTACTCATACATTCTGCAATGAAAATATTGCACCATGTACTGTACCTCTACAAAGCCTGTAATGAGAGAAAAAAAATCTGTTTTAAAATATCTTAGCCTGTTGTAGGTACCCACCAGTTTGAAACTTAGGAACCGTCTCTAGATCGTTTTAAATAACCTTTTTTGGACTGCGGATAAATATAACCGCGGTTATTGAAACCGTGGATACTGGGGTCCCACTGTATTGTGCAAACAATAATCCCTGCATCCCGGTTTCTAAAGGCCCACTAGATGCCAGTGTAGCATCGTTGAGATCAGAAGTGGGCAGTCCTATCTGCAAAGGGCCAATGCATATGCAGGTTTTTGGGATAATCTTTAGGTCAGCTGTTCAAACCCAGGTGTGAGGACTCTTTAGCCAATTAGTAATGAAATTAGGGAGTTGCAGCAAAAACTCACATACCCAACGGCCCTTGCTGGATAAGATTGGCCACCTCTGGAAGGTTTAGATGTTAGGAAGGCCAAAAACAGGAAGTCCATGTTTCACTTTCTGTGCAGTGCCCATGTGGCCTCGGTGGTCTGCTTTGCCGATGTCCTTATAAGGGATGGTGCCCTAGACGACTGCCTGCGTCTCTTAATGGGTTGACTGGCACTGTTTCCGTGGAAATATTTTGGAATAGGATGCAGAATATATGACTGGGAGTAAAATTTTGTATGACCAAAGTTTTTTTTTTTTTATGACTAATAATCTATAACTGGGGAATTTCAGCGAATTTCTGGCGTGCTTTTTCTTATCTCATCAGCCTATTTTTCCTTGTAAATGAAATTATCTGTGACATCGGTAACTGGTCTATTAATGGCCTGCAAGGTTACCGCGGGGGCTACCCATGAACAAAGGCTTCCTGATAAGACTTCCTTTTGTCTCCATCATATGTATGTGTGGCTTAATGGGGTCGTGGGCATAAATTATGTCCCCCCCCCCCCCCCCAATAATCAGAGCAATGAAATATTCACAACAATGAAATATTCCGGGAACATTTCCCGTGGCTCTTGTTTATTGCAGCCTCTCCTTTTTAGTTTCAGTGATGTGCTGCTGTGTAAGCAAGCAGAGTAACAGATATCAAATTAGTCACTGCTCATCATTTTATACAGAACCAGAGCTAGAACAGTAAATCCTGTAACCCCGTTTCACATGTTAACCGGCACCAAGGCAACTGCAAAAATTAGAAATAATTAGATTTCACTGCCTCCATCATTAATCTTGCAATTGTTCCAAAAGCCGGGGAAGGTGAACAGGCTCACTTTAAATACCCTGCTTGGCTGGGGTGGAGCCGGCCGCCATTTCTGTCTTCGTGACAAAGACTCGCAGCATCAGCAGTCTGCCAGCCCTTCGGGGGACACCGTCAGTGCGCATTAGGGCATCACGGAGCCGTGTCCGAAACCCGACGGCACGCCTCTTACGGGCAGCCTCCAGACGCCTCAGGACACGCTCCGTGGGGTGAGGACGGGAGTGTCATCGGGATCACACCATGGTCAGTCAGGCCTCATGAAGAGAACCTTGCAGAACTCGTGGCCGACATATGCGTGCATGTGCGACGTGTGAGGAACAGGGATGGACGCGCCCTATGATTTATCCAGAATCTAAATGAGGTAAACGCAGATGTCTGTCATGTGGTACTGAAACTGTCTAGTCTGTCCCTAGGATTGGCCTGTATTTCTACACATGTATAGGGCATCAGATAGAACAAAGTTGGTGTTCCAAATCCCAGGAAGCGCCCATTCTTATACTCCTGAAAAAGACGTTTAACTACTTATGTAAAAATGCTGCAGTTTATTAGGTTTCCTTGGACAAAAGCATCAACTGAGAACTCAAACCACTGATCAATATCAACATTGATTCAGCCTTTACGGTCACTGGACAAAAAATGTAAAAACATAAGGGACATTAATTTGTGCATATAAGTTGTGTTAATTGGTTTGTCGGAAATCGGTTGGACAGAAGACACCAATATGGCAAGTTTAACATAAATTCACATGGAGGACGGCTGTGTAATTTTCCAAGAAATGCTGTGGGATATTGGCAGTGCGGCGGTCAGGAACGATCTATTCATCCTCACGCACGCTGCTGCTGTAAGGACAGCCGTGGAAAAGGGCTGTCAGGATCCGGCATGAAGTGTCTCCGGATTGTGCCGCTGCCTCAGCCGGCTGTCAGCACCGACGCGAGGTGGTGAGTGAAGCCGCCGGGCGATTTTGACGGCCAGCTGTCAGTCACGAAGTGGAGGGAGTTCAGGATGGGAAACTCAAGGTTATGTCAAAGCTGAGCTGTGGGGGGGGGGGGGGGGGCTTAAAACAGATGGGGGTGGGCAGAGGGAAAGAAGAGGGGAGGAAAACAGGGAGAGGTTTAGGTCCGGAGACAGAGGGGAACCGAGAGAGGTAAGAAAAGACGACTTCATAAATATGAGACAGAGGGAAACAGAGATGGATGTCATTTATACCAAGTGGAGCCAGATTGGCCCCCATATGTCATACACTGAGGTCACTTCCCCATATTGATCAGAGCTTATAGGGTGGCTCATCACAATGAAAATGGCCAAAATAAAAAAAACAACAACAACATATTCCATATATGCACTTGCATCCTGAACGTGGATGCATATTTCATCTGAGGTGCTTTTGGGGTGGAGGGGGGGGGCTGAGGGATAGATAAGTGAAATAGACTAAATGTACTTTATTGCTCATCAAAGAGAGGGGAAAAAAATGACAGTGATGGAGAGGGTGGTGTTCTATCTGCAGTCAGGCTGGGTCAGCTTACCAGCAGTGGTGGTGGGGGGGGGAAGGAAAGGCTGTGAGGAGGGAGGAGCATATGAAGAGAAACTAGACCCAAGGCAGTGTCCGGGGGCCAGGTGAAAACGATGCCCGTCTGGAGTGAACAAGACAGGTCAGCTAATGTGGCAGGTGCTATGATGTCAGCCTCAGCCCTGCTAATGAAGAACAGCAGATTAGTAATGGTTCAGAGCCTAACAGCGACTTAGCCCATTAAACCAAACCTTAAGATCCTCCTAAAGCGAAAAGCGATGGCAGCCCTTTCCAACGTCCCCTGCAGTTCGCCAGAGGTCTGCACGTATTTTTGGCCCATGTCGTATTTCACTCTCGTTTTCAGCCCTTCCATGTGATTTGTGACAGGACGAGCCTGAGGTCCACCTCGCGTAAAAATATGCCCCCATAACTCTTTCTTGTTAGGTCATTAACGTAATTTATTTGGCCAAGGTTCTAATTGGAAACTATTCAGGGTGGTGTTCGGCCATTATTCCTCCACACGCTGGTTAAAATTATATAATCCACACGCTGGTTAAAATAGTTTTTTTTTCCCTTTCCCCTCAACCTTTCACTTTCTTCCTCGTGTCTCCACGGTAGGTCGTTTCACTGGTTGACTTGTGAAGGTGATGACACAGCATTGCTCACTCTGGAGGGGGAACAATGTGCTCCGTTACAAAAATTATGTATGCATCAGGACCCAGGTTCCATCAATTATGCTCCTTGGAATACAGGGTCTGTGCTGTCAGTGCCTTTCGTTTACATTAATTCATTCATTCATTTCTTTGTTTGTTTACATGTATACATTTAGCAGACATTTTTGAACAAAGTGACATACAAGTACATTACAATAGTACCTTACAATCATACAGGGGTCAAAAAGGCAACTAGGCAAAAGTACAGCTAAACTGGGCTTCCAATAAATGACCAGTGACATGCACAAGTTAGCAAAAACAGCAAAATACTTTGTAAAAAGATGCAGAAAGAAGCGAATAAAAGATCTGGTCAACTCAAAAACAAGTGCAAAAATACAAGAACGTCCTTGGATACACAAGAGAGCAGATAAAGGATAGCAAAAGAGAGCAGGACAGTGAATGGATCAGCTAGTTGAGGTGTTTGCTAGTTGCAGAATCTCACACGACAAGCAAACACTTAGGGCATACTCATACAGGGCTCGGTTGCCTTGTATCATGCCCAAGCACAACTGCCCCCCTCCTCACTCTCCCAATTGTCTGCGCTCACATTGCACTTTAACAATGCTGGCCTGAGCATGCTTCCTCATCACCGTGCAATTTTTTTTGTTTTGAAGGAAAACGCTATCGCACCACAGATTTTAATTCATGTTTAATATCCTCATGTTGTGACTTATTTGGAGTCATTTCTGGCACAATGACACACACAGATTTATCACGTATTTAACACAGCGATTTTTGTTTATTCCTGTTGCACTGATAAGAACCCACATTTTACTAAATATCTGAGTTTGTGCAGACTACTGTTGCACAAGATACATCACTAACTATCGAATCAGAATCAAGGACCTAAAATGTCTAAACTGCTCCTGAAATTCAGTTATACCCTATATCAGCATGCCACGCACACAGCGTTATCATTCTCACACAGCTGAGGGATCTCCAGGTGGTGCTGGCTTGCCAATCGCATCAGAAATGCTTTCTCAGGCGGCAATGTGATGTTTTCAGCAATATTTAACAATAAGTTTTTCATTACTACAGCTAATTAGCTCTTCAAAAAGTCTGTGTTCTTGATGGACATTTTATGTGTAGCGGGTAATTTCCGGAGACAGATAAGGAATCCCCCATGTGTCCTGCTTGAAAGCACAGTGACGACTGGAAAACTCCTTTATAATTAAGGAAAAGAATTAAGCACTTACTGGAACGTAGAATCCACTGGGACGGCTGCTTTCCTGTTTGCCGACCTTTGCTGTGAATACAAGAGAATGGGTTTCCCTTAGCAACAGTCATGCCATGTAGGTCAACTGATGTGTGAAGGTGGGGGTTAATCTCTACACCAGGAAGCCCCTGAAAACGGTCTCCCAAGAGAGCCTAAATACAAAACGTGTTCAAAAGCTTCCGAATACAAATTCTTTACAGATTACATACTTGCAATGCTATACATATAATCTGTCAGCTGTTACGTTTTTCTGGGAGACATTCATGTATTTAGCAGATGATTTTGTCCAGAGCAACATGCAAGTGAGGGTTAGATAGTAAGGTCATCCAGACCCTGGAACAGCTAAGTTTAAGGACCTAGTGTAAGGACCTCATGGAGAAATCCATGGAGAGTCCTAACCTGCAACTGCACACTGTCCATCTCTGGAAAGACCATCCTCCGAGGGCGAGAGAGAAGTGACTTTTGTAAAATATAGCATAATATATAGTTTCATTAATAGGCTTTTACAAATAGCTTGTCCCCTGTACTGAATTTTAGTTACCCAATCCATTCCTGTTATGCTGTACTCTCTATGGTACCTCATCGTTTTCATTTTGAAGTTTCCTGAAAATACTGATGGATGAGAACATTTGGTGTGAGGGCTTGGCAGCGGCTAGGCTGGGCCGCCCTTAGCGGCCACTCGCAGACCAGCCATCCATCTCCACGAAGGTCATCCCTTTCCCAAGGGGAGGGAGAAGCAACTGTCACTTCACTATGTCTTGGTGTTGGCCCTGAGGAGCTGTTTGCTGATTTATGAAGCCCCAGCAGGAGTTGATGAGGGAGATCAGGCCTTCAGAACGTAAATATTGTCTCCAGTGAACTTTTTTTTTCCCACTGGATTAAGCACATGAAAAAAAACGTGACAGCCACAGAAATTAAACAACGCCAGCTAGACTTACGGTGCAGACGCTGGTACAACAAATGGCGGCTTGCAAGCCTGACTTTGTTCATGACTTTGTCCCAGAGATGCTTCCTGCCAGGCTGTGAACTGTGCCAGAATTAAGCTGTCTATGACACTGAGTTTCATCTCCGTAAGCATGAAGGAAAACCTTCCATTGTTTGGAGATTGCAAGCAAGTCACACAAAACTGGAAATCTAAGAACTGGAAATGGTTGGTTATAAACACTGAGGATATTTCTGTCCAAAGGCTTTAATATCCTACTGAAAATGAAAGAATCTTTGATGCCAAAAACAGTATTAAACTCTATGTGGTACTATGGTCATTTTCACATAAAAAAAAATAAATCAAATGAGAAGCCACCACACTGGGATATATTCATAATGTAAATATTCATATTTTATGAACAACTCATAGCTTAATTTACTATTGCTGTGGCAGTAAATTGAGTCAGGTTGTGTATTTCTTATATGCTGCTACAAAGATATTGCATCAACCATACAGTACATTCATCTTAAGATTCCTTTCTAATCTAACTGGATGGAAGAGAAATCATTTTTAAGAATGCCCGCCAATCCCTCGTTACAAACTGCAATGATTAATTGATGGGACGAGACACGACACCGTATTGTGGATGTCGGTTACTCTACACCCCCAACTCCATAGCGAATCTGAAGTGGTTGGCAAAAGAGCCGCCCATCATTTATTAATTTCGTTCAGAAGCAGTGCTTAAAAGTCGCGGGTCGCCGTTCGCTCGTGCTAACGATTAAAGCCACGTGACTGCCCATGTAATGTCCTTCATATCAGACACGCAAGCCGCCTCGACTAATCGCCTATCCATCTTCCTCACCCGTTATCCTGCTCAGGGTCGTGCGGGTACTCCGCTCATCTTGCTCACGCTAGTCAGATATAATATTCATTAAGATGATACGTTCATGTTAGAAAGCATGGTGAGCAACACTGAATTGCAACAGAAACGAATAGTTAAGATCGCATACACATAACTGTCAAAAATATCCCTTTATTCAATCTCCAAATGATCGTCCACTATGTGGTTTTAACCAGGTGAAATTATTCGGTGTTTATTTATCAGTCAAGTTACTATTGATTACCCAGATGCCCAGTGATCTGTGGCCAGTTCCAGTTAATAAAAACACCAATGGCTTAGTATTTAATATATATTTAATATTTAATTTGTATAGCATGTAAAATATAATGCTTATGTTTATCCAATCATATCCCTTTTGAAAAAAATCAGATCCCATATAATATAGAAAGACGGCAGGTCGTGTATACACTTTAGATGCAATGTACATGCATTCAGATTAATCCAAAACATTACATTACTCTTGTCTGCTATAAAAAAGTATTTCATCCTCATCTGCTGCAGCAGCCAGAAGATACAAGGTGGCCAGAATTACGTTGACTGACAATGTGCCGCCCAGGAAGCTACGGATGGGTCTCTGGTGACAAGCTGCTCAGGTGGATTACAAAGCAAATCCGGAAGATTGTGGCACCTCCTGACACTTGAGGTGTCCAGGTGCAAAGCGGTCTGGGGGGTCCTA